ATATCTTGCAGCCAAAGTCTCTTTCCGTTAGCATTTAGCCTTAGGACTGGTGTTTTAACCGTCTAGGAAGAGGGAAGAGGCTGATGGGCGGCTGGTAAAACTGTGATGTGCCATCTGGGGAACCGTGGAGGTGCAGAGTCAAGCATCAGACCTGGCCCATGGGCTGGAGGTTCACCACCCTTGTTCTACCATTCTGATATTGCTACCATTGAGACGACACAGTTTATCAACCATCTCATCTGGGACCTTTCCTAACCCTTCATTGCAGACTTCACTGTTGGATTCAGGACTGCAGGAACAGTGCCTCTGGATCCCCTTTGTTGGGCTTCAGAAACAGGAAGGTGTGGTAGTCCTCATGCCATATTGGAGGTCAGCTCAGAGATACCTGGGTGACCAGTGTGGCAAGCAGAATCCCAGCTCAGACAGGCCTTTGGTCTGATCTAGCAGGTTCTCTCTGGTTTGCACAGATTGTGAAGAGGTGCCAGCACACCTCCTAGGTATGGATGAAGCTGCCAAGCTTTTCCAAAATGGCATCCATCACCTCGGCTGCATCAGATGTATCCTTGAGTGCATTTCTCAAGATGGACACACTTGTTTTTTGTTTGCGCACCTTTTCCGATTTCCCCAGTACAGTCACGTGTCCGTGTGTCCACTTCCATGTAACATACCCATTCAGGTGTGCACTTTTCGGTCAACCCATTTGACACAAGGCCCGAATTCAGTTTGGGATCGCCTCTTGGGGACGAGGCTAAAAATCCTGCATCTTAAAGCTCTGCCTGCCACTAAGTGGCTTTCTCTGCGGTGGCACCCAACCTATGGAATTCACTCCCCAAAGAGGTCCGCCTGGCACCGTCGTTACTGGTTTTTCGGCGCCAGGTAAAGACCTTTTTATTTAAACATCATTTGAATTGTTAAAACATATGATCTGGCCAGGGCAACTTCTTCTTCCTTCTCTTTCTCCTCCTATATTTTTATTTACTTAATTTATACTGATAATTTTAATCTTATATTTGTAAATCAATGTATTTTTTGTATTTTTGTATTTAATGGTAATTTATTATGTGCTATTGTATTTCAATGTATTTTATCGTGTTGTAAGCCGCCCCGAGGTTTCGGCAAGGGGCGGCATAGAAATGTTATAATAATAATAATAGTAATAATAATAATAATAATAATAAGTTAGCTTGTGATCAGCATTTCAGCCTTACAGAAGGGGAGGAAAGGAACAACAGCTGGGGAAAACCGATCCACGGTCAAGAGAAAAGGGGGACTCCGGAGAGCCACAAAGAGGGAGGGGCTGGATGAGGCTTAGAGACCTGAGCTTCAACCCATCCTGTAGGCCCATCCCAACAGTTTATGAATGAGGCCCCACTTCGTTGCCATGGTACTGCCCGGACGTTCCCGTTCCTAATTCTTAGACAATTTGTCCATTTTGTCAGCTCAGCTACGTGGCAAAGTTTCCAGCTTCCTTGAGGAGGACTGGGCTTTCCATCATGGAAGTGCTCCTCTCACCAAACCCCCTCCCTGCACATACACGGAATTCTAGATGTATTTTTAACTGAACGGTTCTGCAGAGTTTCCGCTTTCTATGAACTTTCCCCCACAAGGCTCCAGAAATGCCTGTGGGGCTTTGAAATCTACCATGGCTGAGTCTGTCTCCTGCAACCTGGTGCCCTCCCGATGGATTGGACTGCAACCTCCATCACTCCCAGCCAGTATGGTCTGTGGTCAGGAGGGCCAGCAGGCCATCATGCAAAACATCAGGCTTGCAGGAGACTAGGGAAGGCTGCGCCAGCTGCAAGTAATACCCACACTGGTTGGGGATGATGGGAATTGTAGCACCACCCATCTGGAAGCTGCCAGCTTGCGAAGACCATTGGGGAAGGCTAGTAAGGCTCGTGCTGACTGGGAATGATGGGAACTGTAGTATCACACTTGGGCCACCAAGCTGGGGAAGGCCATGCTAAGACAAGGAGCTACAGATAATGAAGTCTCTGGTTCAAATTATGGTTCTGTCTTAGGGGGTGTAGAGAAGATGGTCAGCCTCATACCTGAGAAGCGGGGGGCAAGACAACTGTCCTACTTTACAAGGTTGTTGGAAGGATGAATATGGTTGCAATTCTGTTGGTCTGGGATATCCCTGCCAATCGTGGCTGTCAGGCTCAGCTTAGGGACTCAGTCTCCCCTTTCCAGCCCTTACCACTTTATGTTTAAATCCAGGGTTAAATCCTAATCTTGCCATCCTGTCCACACTTCTACTCCGAAGCAAGCCACATCCAGTTCAGTGGAGCAGCACCCCTCCAGGGCCCCGGGCAGGCATCTTTCCAGCCCTTCCAGGACGTGCTGGGGATCGAACCTGAGGCCTTCTGCACACAAGCCATGCGCTCCCCCACTGAGCTGCAGCCCTCTGTGGATTCACTGGGGAAGGCAAGTACGGCTCGTGCTGGCTGGGAATGATGGGAACTGTAGCATCACACTTGGGCCACCAAGCTTCAGCCAGCTCAGCAGCATTCACCCCCAGATCCACCCAGGGAGAAGAGCTCAGGCTGCACGGGGGATCTCCTCCACCGAGCTACAGGTTCCCCCCACAGAAGATGTGGCCGTCCTTGACGCCACTCGGCGAGATGCCCTTCCACGTCCTCCGCCCTCCCTTGGAGAGCAGGCAGGAACAGAACGGACAAAGCAACCTTCTCCATCTGGCCCTCAGGGCACCGTTGGGCACCATTTAAATCAATGGAGAGCACGCCAGAAGAGTCCTCCCTCTCGCCAGCAAAGTCACGATGCAGAACAAAGCCACGCTTGTACTCTGGAGCAGAGCTAATAAGTAAATGCATCTTATGACAGCTCCAACCAACTCCCATGACTTGCATATTATTTGGACTGACCTTTCCTTAAAGACCAGCTATTAGCTAGCTGGCAGTCGGTTTCCATCAGGCCCATCTGGAGGACATAAAAGGGCTTCTGAAACAAGCACCTCCGTACACAACACACTCCAAACAAGTCCCGGAGTGTTTTACATCTCTCTAAGGCTTATTATACCTGCGTTGTCCTCCGATGAACTGCACGGGGTCTGCGCAGCAACCAGATGGAAGGAACCGCCTTGGATGCAGGTCTAGGTTCTCTGCCCATCATTTCTGGTTTACTGTTCAGCCGCGGATTAATTGCCCTAGGCTAGGCAACCCATCATCCCCTAACGGTCTAGGACTACAGCTCCCTGTAATCCCGGGATGCTCGGGGGTGAGCAGAGTTTGTTTGCTCGTTTGCTAGCATTGCGGATGGGTTCCAGAGTGGCAACCAATAAAAACCCCTGTTGTACCACCCGAGGGCCAAAGCAGAAATGTCTTCACAATTATTGCCTAGCAGTTGGTTTCATTTGTAATCTAGAGCAGCGTTATGATTACATTATATTTATATCCCACCCATTTTTCCCTCTGGCACAAACCCAAAGCAGCTTTTATGGTCCTCCTCCACCCAATCTTCTCAAAACAACAAGCTGGATAGTCTGAGACTGAGTGGCTGGCCCAAAGCCACCCAGTGAACTTCACAGCTTCATGAGGACTAGAAACATAGAAACAGAGCGAGTCAGAAGGGGTCTCCCAGGCCATCTAGTCTGACCCCTGGCTCCAGCCGGCTCCACTCACGACATGCCCACCATGTGGACGTCCAGCCTATCCTTGAACACCCGCACCGATGGGGCCTCAGCGACCTCCCGTGGAAGCCCATTCCACACCCTCGGGGTCCCGACTGGCAGGAAGTGCTTCCTGGCATCCAAACTGAGCTCCACTAGAACTCAGGTCTCCCAAGTCCCCAGCCCAGCACTGTAACCGCTGCACCACACTGGCTCTCAGCGGACTCGGCCCAGACCTTGAAAGCTCCCTCATCTCTCATGCCAGGGCCCTGAGCAGACCAATCAGATTCTCCTGATCAGGAGTCAACACGGGAAGAGCAGGAAAACCATACTTTGCTGGACACAGAACTCAAGTCATGCCTGTTCTGGCCCTTACTTGGCATCCCTCCCAAACCTGGGGGGAGACCGTCCATTCAGCCCTGGTTCTCCCCCTCTGATGGGCAGGGGCTTTTCAGAGCCTTGGAAGAGGTCATTTATTTATTTATTTATTTATTTATTTATTTATTTATATTGCGATTTATATCCTGCCTTTTTCCTACAAAGGGCTCAAGGCAGCTTACATCATCTCTCCTCCATCTTATCCCCACAACAACCCTGTGAGGCGGGTTGGGCTGAGAGTCTGTGACTGGCCCAAAGTCACCCAGTTGGCTCCATGGCTGAGCGGGGACTTGAACCCAGGTCGTCTGAGTCCCAGTCCCACGCTCTTAACCACTACACCACACCACTTCTTCCTCGCGTCGCCTGGGCTGAGGTCACACAGAGCGACCCCGGACCTGCTCACGCTTGGGGCGGCCACCCTCGACAGGGACTGCCTCTCTCAGCTCCGCAGCAGGGGCCCTCTGCCTGGAACTGCTGGGGACCGAGCGGAGGGCCGCTTGCATGCAAGGCATGTGCTGTGGCCCAGAGCTGCCCGTGGTCCCCTCCCTCCCCGGTCCAGCACCCTTTCCCTGGCTGACACTGTAAGGCATCTAATCTGAGCTCCACTAGAACTCAGGGTCCATGGGAAGCAGCCCGCACCAGCTCAGACGGCTTGCCCACCGTGCCCAGCACCACCACCACCACCACGGCACGTGCTCTGGCATTCCCACCCCAACTGCCAGGGCTGCTCCAATATCTCGGCGCTTTCCCACCACCAGCGACTTGGCTCCAGGTAGCTGGCAGCTGAGCGTGAGACCTTCAGCATCCACAGGGCAGGGGAGCGCTTGGCTCCCTCGCTTGTGATGGTCTTGGGCACACTGGACCAGCCGCTGCCGGAAACAGAACATGGCCTTGGTGGACCCTCCATCAGGTCCTGGAGGGACCCCTCTGACATCACGTTCTTGACGCTTGCGAAGGAAATGCTCAGCAGCTCAAAAGCGGGAGGCCACCATACCTGATGGGATAGTCCGCAGCACTGAGGTTAATGAAGAAGTCCCACGGCCAGTCCTTCATCGCCATCAGGTCCTGCATAGCCTGCAGGTAAGTGGACAGAAGACTTGCTCCTCCCCAGATGGTTGCCATGCGCCAGGAAGTGACCCTCACATTTGGATACTGGCTAGCGAACTGGAGCACTTGCCGGTGCAGGTAGCTGGATCGCTGCATGGGGGAAGGGAGGAAAAGGAGGAAAAGGCTCGATGAGAGGACCTGAGGCACGGGCCTGCGCGTAACTGCTCCGCCACAGCTCCTGACGGGCACACAGAGCTGCCGAGGAGGCGGCGTGAACGGTTCCCGGGAAGGATTCGGCACTCCACGTGGCAGAGCAGAAGAAGAGCATGAGGGCAGCCAGGCGGGGTCTGGATGGACCAGAAGTCCATCTACCCCCCATCCTATTTGCACAGTGGTCAACCAGCTGCGCATGGGAAACCCACAAGTAAGGCACGGGGGCAAGAGCATCCTCCAGCTCATGTTCTCCGGCCAGTGGTGCATGCAGCCCCACTGCCTCAGAGGCTGGAGGCCACAGATAGCCGTTAGGACTAATTGCCATCGGATTTGTCCAATCTCCCTTCAAAGCCACCCAAAATGGCACCCATCGCTGCATCTTATGCAAGTGAATGACGCAGCTTCAGTATGTGCTGTGTGCTTCTTTCGTCCTGATTCACCCACTAATCAGCTTCATGGGATTACTCTGGGCAAGTTTTTTAAGCCCTGAAAGTAGAAAGAGAGCATATCGGCAAGCTTGGCTGTGCTAGATTTCTGCTTGCAGTGAGTTCGAACCCTAGAGATGGGGGCCACTTTGTCCACTTGTCTATCCAGCCTCTGCTTGAAGGCCTACAGTGGCAGACAGTCCAGCCTGCAAATCAGGGGACCTGCATTTCTCACGCACCTCTGGGGCTACCGCGTCCCTGCTTCAGCTTGCCTTCAACCTTTTCCGTGCCCCCGACCATCTTCTTGCCCTCCTCTGAACTCTTAAAATGTGTCGATGTCCATCTTAGAAACTGGCACCCAGAACTGGGCAGAGGAAATTGCAAGATGGGGAACGCGACATTCAACACGGCAGCCTGTGTCTGCGATCGGGAAAGCTTCCCGTTCGATCTGCCACCTCCCAGCTGATCAGCTGACCAGGCCGCAGAGGAACTAGACAAATGACAGCTTGGGCTTCCAAAAAACAGAAGCCCATGCGGCTTCCAAGCATTTCTTGTTCTTCCATAGCAGAGGGCTGCCTGCATTAACAGGGAAGATGGGTGGTCCCGGAGGAAGAGAGACACGAAGAGTTCGGGCGCTACACAACTCTTACTGTCTAATCTGCCAAGGCAATTCAGCAGTTGCTCACCAAGCAGAGAGGTACAGAGGAGTCACCACTGAGAAGGCCGTGGCATGTGGATCCTGTTTGTGCTAGCCAGGGAAACATCCCTCTCTCTCTTTCTCTCTCTTCCCCCATTGTTGACTCCTCCCTTTGTAGACCCTGAGATGATGGGATGTTATGCCTATAATGACTTTTCAGGGTCAGCCTTTCGGTGCTTTTTCACAACTCACTGGCCTCCCAGGCTACCACTGCCATTATTAAAAACTGTACTTCTGGATTTTTTAGAGCAAATTCTTGTTATGGTTTGGCTTTATTGACTGAGAATTTATTTATTTAGTTTATTTCCTATCTTTGTTCCTTTTGTGAAGAACCAGAGAGGACTTAAATCCTTCTCCTCCTCGCTACTCCATCCTCAGAGCAGCCCTGTGAGACAAGCTTAGCCTAAGAGTCACCCAAAGTCACCTTCCTGTCCAGAGTGTGGACTTGAACCCAGGTCTCCCAAGTCCTAGCCGATATGCTATGCCATGCTGGCTCAACATTTATGTGACTGAAGAGCCCCTTCTGGAGTGATTTTGTTTTTTAATGTTTTGCTGGGATTTATTTAAAAAAATGTGGGGGGAAGGCAGGAAATTAGCACCAAAATCAACCCACAGCCTTTTCATATTCAAAAGTTTTCTCTCCCCAGTGGAATTTAAACAGAACTACAGAGAGACAAAACTAGTGAAGACAGAACATCAAGTGCAGTTGGAGACACATCTGCTCAGCGGCTTTACTCCCAGGTAAGGGTACGCAGGATCGAGGCCTTCCTGCCGCATTCCTCCAGGCCTTTGTGAAGATCCTATCTGTGTGTTCACAGCAAGTTAATTCGAAAGCATCCAGAAGCACCCTTCGGTCTCATGCACTTCTGCCTTGCCGAGGGACGGCCGATGCCATTTCAAGTCCATCTCGGACCTTATACTGGCTTCTGGGTTAAAGTACGCAAACGGCGGATGCTTGAGCGAGATAAAAGGGTGGCTGAAGACAGTCCAGAGCAGGGATGCCGCTGACTGCAACCATACATGGGGCTGAAGGGGAACCTTGCAATTCACAAAGGGCAGGGGAACGGCTGCAGTGGGGGACGGGATGGGACGGGACCCTGTCAGTCTAAGGGTCGAATTCCATTTCAGAGAAGGCCTTGGGGGCTTCCAGGGATGGGAGGGGCCAAAGGCAAAAAAGGCGTGGGCCAAAATGCCAGCTGGCTGCAGCTTCACGTTCCTCGTGTTCGTAACAGGAGCCGGGTGGCTCCTGGGGCAGGGAAGAAATCAGATAAAGAGACGAAGTCTCGGGATGGGATTTCAGCCTTTTAGGATGGGGGAAAGCTGCACAAAAGCCAGGGAAGTGGCCAAGGCACAGTGGCTGGCAGGACGGACACAGGAACAGGGAAAGGGGGTGCGGCCCTCTGAAGAACTCCAGAGGGCTGGAATAGAAGCCCGGGAGGAAATGCCCACCCCGCACCGGACCGACGAGGTGCACTGCGCAGAGCACGCAAAGACGGCCGACGGCGGGGCAGGTGATATATTAACCGGCGATGTATTACCTTGTCCACGTGAATGTAATAGAAGTGGTCTTTATGGTAAATGGCCTTGAACATGCGGGTCAGCTGCCGGGAAGCTCTGCCATGAACCACCAAGACATAGGCGATCCTGACCGGGTTGGCTGGCATGTACTCGACGGAGTCCTCATCCCAGTGCACGCTGTTGCTGGCCTTGCCTGTGTGGAAGCAAGACACGGTCAGGGCAGTCGGGGTGCTTTGGCTCAGCCGGGACCCGGGCTCAGTCCTCTTGCCCGGTCCTTCTTGCCCCAAATGTAAGTCACTGAGGCAAGGAATGATGCAGCCCTTCCACAGGGAGGCTGTTCTGCTCCTTAGCTGGAAAGCTCACATGGGATCGAAACACAGAAACAGAGCGAGTCAGAAGGGGCCTCCCGGGCCATCTAGTCTGACCCCCGGCACCAGCCGACTCCACTCACAACATGCCCACCATGTCCAGCCTGTCCTTGAACACCCTCCCCGATGGGGCCTCAACCACCTCCCGTGGAAGCCCATTCCACACCCTCGGGGTCCTGAGTGGCAGGAAGTGCTTCCTGGCATCTACATGGAACCTGGGTTCCCTGAGCTTTGCTCCGTTGGAACGTGTCCTGCCCTCCTCTGCAGGGGAAAACAGGTCTCTACCCACCTGGTTGGCTTGAAAGGCAGCCGTTCACCTGCCCGTGTCACCCCCAAATCCTGGAGCACTCCATGTCAGGGGCCCAATGTTGAGTGGAAGGAGCCAGGGCTACCGGTCCACAACAGCCCTGGCTCCTTCCTGAGGCAAAGGGCAAGATGGTGCCCTGGTCTCCAGCCCACTTGTGGCCCCGCACTTGTTCTGGCCTACGACTCCCATGAGCCTCCACCCGGGGCCTGGTGACCAGGGAGGATGGGAATTATTGGGCCCACGGTGAGCATGTTTCTCCACACTTTCTGCTTTCCAGCATGTCAAAAGGGAAAGCCTATAAAATATAGTTCTTTACTGGAGTCACAAGCTTTGCTGTGATACAGGGTGTTTTTTCGGAGGACAGCTTCAGCCCACATGAAGAGCTGATGCCAATCTGCAACAGCTCCCTCCTCCTCGCCTTCTTCCAGATTTGGCATCCAGCTCATGGGCCAAATGGCGAGAATCCCTGCCTTTACAAAGCCGGTCCAGTTTTTCAGCCTGACACGATCGTGCTAGGTCACTCCTCTCTCCCCGTTGTTCTCCTCTGTCCCCACCTTTGCCCAAGATGGCATGGTTCTCAATTGCTTCCTGACTAATTATGCTTCTCAGCCTTGGAAATCTACTTTTCTTCCTAGATTTCCAACCCGAGCCAGATGCAAAAGCCATATGGTCAGAGTTTAAGAATCACAAGCTCAGGAGTTTGTTTTTGTATCAAAATGAAAAAGAACTTACTGGATAGGACCCATCTAAGCCTCATTTCAGGAGCATGATGGGGGCTGAGCAGAAGTAGAAGAGAACATGCTACTGCTGCTAGAAAGAGCCAAGAAATCCTTGACAATCTACGGCAAATCACCCAGAGAGTTGCAGACCAAACTTTTGCTCATTCCTGACTCTAAATGGGGTCCATCCACAAGTTTTGGCCTACAAGACCCATGATTCTTCACCATCCCTTTTGCTGGACAAGGCTGATGGGAGACAAAGGTTAGGAACATCAGAAGGCCCACAGATTGCCTTCTGGTGTCCTAAGGCAAGAGGAATCTGAGGAGCTTGTAGGATACAGGAATGGCAGGGAGAGGCTAAAAATAGGCTTAGGGAAGAAAGATTTAGGAAACTGCTACTTCCCTGCCACAAATTAGTCATTCTCTCTGCTGTTGAAAAATCACTGCTGCCTTTGCATGGAAATCCCGAGAGTTTTGCTGATATACATAGAATATGGATTTGGGCTAATTCTTCTCCTCTTGTGAAGATGTTTCTGCTGTCAGCAGTCCCAATGGAGAAACAATTTAAGGTGATCCATGAAGTAATTGCAGTTTTGTCTTTTCCTGACACAGAAGAAACGCCTACCAGGGTTCTCTCTGCGAATACACATATTTCCTCCCTGTGCCTTTTCTGGTTTAACCTTGAATTTCAAGGGCTGGTCCACACTCCGGGGTCACCACTGCCAAATCGGTTTGAGAGCCGAACTTTTCCATGGACATTAAACCACAAACAGAAGAGTGATCATTATTTTATTACAACCCCCTCTCCCTCGAAAAAAAGAAAAAAAAAGAAGAAGAAGAACCAACGTAGCAATCATATTCTGAAGGGACACTGGGAAGTATGGAAATTACCAGTTGACTTTTTGCTAATGACTCATCTTTCAAAAACACAGGGATAAATTAGAGTGGGAATAATTCATCTCTATTTTCAGTCTCAATTGCTTTGATTTATCTTCTTCAGCAATCAGTTCCCAAGGGTAAGACCAATCAGAACAAGAATGAAAGGACTTAATATTTCCAAATTAAAACAAAACAAACAAGCAAACAAACCCCAAAACTGCAGAGGCTGCTCTACAGAGAAGAAAAAAAGCCTTTCTTTTTCATGATGGCATCGATATCTCACCTTTTCCCCTTGCCAGGACCCCAAATGGCTTAGGTGGTCCTTATCCTCTCCATTTTATCCCCACAACAACCCTGTGAGGTTGATTAGACCGAGAGTCACTAACCAGTACATAGCTACCCAGAGAACTACATGGCTGAACCAGGACTAGAACCCGCATCTCCTGAGTCCAGCACTCCAAGGATTAGGCATATATTCATTAGACTTCAGCCAGGAGCTCATATGCTTCCGTGCCATTGGCCAAGATGCTGTGAAGTCACAGAAATCTTCATGCCTATTGTAAGAGCGAAGAAACAAGACTCCATTGTTCACAATTAACAGGAAAGCCCGGTCTACCTCAGAGCTCCCTAGTCCAACGCGGAATCCCAGTCCAACACTCTAACCATTTAGAGATGCCTTCCGCTAGCAGCAGCTCCTTGCAAAGCAAAAGGGTCTTAACTGCCCCCCCCACACACAAATCCTTCCTGTTGTAAGAGCTCACAAAAAGGCTGCTGCAAAAATCCACCCCCCCCCTTCCCCATGGGTCCTGGGAAGACTGCAGCTCATCTCCAAGAGAACAGGGAACGGCACAGAGGGCGCCCACTGCCCCAGCTGGCCAAAAAGTCCCAGAACTTGGACCTCCGCACCCGGGTTCCACTGCAGCCCCCTGCATTTCTCCGGCCCTGCGTGCTCCGCGGCTGGACTCTGAGCACGAGCGATTGTAAGAGAAATGGCTTGTGGGCAGAGTAAAATGCCATTCCTTTGCAGATCCGCAGGCTATTTATTTAGACTGCATCGATAAATGACGCTTAAAAAAAGAAAACCCCCACCACAAATCATTATCACTACATTAGTGGAACCGCAGACAAGGGCTGGATTGTGCAACCTTTTGTTATTCGTAATGGCACTCTTTTACGTGATTAGCATAATTGATTTGAACAGTACAACACGGGCGATAAAGAGCTACTGGGCTTAAGTAAGAAATGCAGAAGCCGGCCTACAATTTATCACATCCACCCACCCACTCTCTTTCAGCCATAATGTTCGCCTCTTAGGCAGGATTTTTTCAAACTAGCCGATGTTTTGCTCTTAGTGGATTTGCTGATGGTATCTTGTGCAAATTCAACACTGGTTGCATTATTTATGCCTTCCCTTCCCTTCCCTTCTTCCAAATTTCTAATCCTGTTTGAATCTTACTTTAAAATCAAACTGTCTCCCGATTTCTGGATGAAAGACCAAGCGCTGCAGCTGGACTCAGTCCTGCCTAAAGGATCCCCACAGCTAATCAGCCAGGCCTAATTTAAGCCCCAGTGATTTCAATGGGTCTAACACCTTGGGGGATTCAGCCGTGCTTTAAAAGCCCAGGCATTCAGTGCAATTTCCAGCAAACACATACCGATCAGAGAAACTTTAAAGGGCTCAAGAGGACAGAGCGAGAATCTTCTGGGCCCAGTGGCCTATCCACATGGCCAAACAGCTTTCCTGGCCCACCCCCTTCCCACTGACCCCCCTTCCCCCTAAATCCTAACACATTTAGCTATCAAAACCTTTTGCTAATTCATGCAAATTGCTAGCGCCTGCACAGCTGCACAAAGTTAAAAGTTACAAGTGCAACCAAGACGCTCGAAAGGCATCAACACAGCAGCAGAACGGGAAAGAAGCAGGGATTACGGGGCAGAGCCACAACACCAGTGGGGCAGTGCATCAGCTCTGGGTGGTGGCCAGGGGTTTGGGGGCGCTAGCCATGGGGCCAAGCCTATTTTGGGGAATGGAGGAGGGTTCAGGACCACGGACAGCGCCTGCACTCCTCTGACTGAAACGGCGCAGCAGCTCACCACCACCGAGAGAGTGACCAGAAGCTCTTCCAGCATGCTTCTCACGCAACAGCAACTGCCTGTTTCCCCCATAACACGCTCCGATTCGGCGGCGCCATCACACCCGTTGCTGTGCAGCCACTCGGCACAGCCAGGTACCCAAAGGACGGCCAGGAATGAAGGCCCCTGCATTTGCATCTCCGCCAAGAGCATGTCTTTTGCACTGTGAGTAGGTCTTAATAGCTTGGTTAGAAGATTACACCACCCCAAAATATTGTGCTTCACGAGAGGGAACGCTACAGTGTCACTGGGGCTAAGAAATCATTTCTCTGCAGCCTTGGTGAGGGCTGCAGAGACGCTCAGAGGCATTCTGAGGGAGTGGCAAGAGATGCCAGCATCTCTGCTCAGAAGAATGTGCTGACGCCGCATCCCTGTGAGCCCTGGTTCCGCTACACCATGGCAGCAGGTGGGCCAGAGCTACCTAGATCTGCGGTGGCGATCCAGCATTTATGCACCCCTGCTGCTTTTATCTGTAGGGACTGGCGGACATTGAGAAAGTCAGAACTCATCTCCTCAACTGATTCTGTGCGACTCACAAATATATTTGGGGGAGGGTCTGCAATGTAGCGGACAAGCACATGCCTTGTGCTGAAGGTCCCAGTTCAACTCGTGGCATCTCCAGAGTGGGTTGTGAGAGACCACAGCCCAAACATCGCTGCCAGGATTGTGTGGACAAAACTAACCCAGAGGGGCCAAGAACTGACTCTCTGCAAGGCAGCCTTGTATGTTCTGGTGATCAGCACACTGGTCCTCTGTGTTTTTCCATAGGACACCATCCTAGATATAG